TCTGCGTGTGACAGTAAGATTTAGAGTTGAAGAAATCACGATTCACAACTTACATTACTTCCAGACGGACTCCTCCACTCTTCATATCTGGCAGATTATAAAAAACCACTACAAACATTTCACCCACGCAAGATCACACTATACGCGACATACATTTACGAAACAACATTGAATGTGATAACAAAGTACAATTGATCTAGAAGATGATAACTTTCCGATATTTAATGGACATCTGACGAAGGATTGCATTTAGAATATTACATTTGAATTTATATCGATTATACACCTGAAGATGGTTCATTGAAAACCGAAACATGTCGTGAAAATGATGATGCTCTAATTGTAAATCGAACATTTCGATAGAAAGAGCATCATTTTAATATATTTTAAATATTTTAAATATTAAATGTTAATTATAGTAATAATATTTTAATATTTAATAAAATATTTTATTGTGATTAGACGGTTAAAATAAACAATTATAATCATCACAATATGACGCAACAATATCACCTCAACTTAACTTTAATATAAAATAAATTTACCATAATTTCACATGCAACATAAGTGTATACGCATTCAAAAACTTCATAAAATATGTAATAGTTGTCACGATATCCTGTAGTGACGTCATGCTGTAGATGAGTACTCGTACATGTTAATTACCTGAAGTTGATTTTAACAACGAGACAGTTCTCTGATTTCGCGAGACGAGGTAAAGATGACACCATTAGGAGGATAGTACAAGCACGCGCATTACTATGTTAGCCTAACCTAACCTAACCTAAATTCCTCAAATGTTATACCTGTCTTTACGCTGGACGGAAATTTATGATTTGTATGTTCTTCGTGCCATAGATCACTAATCTAAATTCGCACCATTTAACTCCGTACATCCTGTAATAACATCCTTATGGATGTTCGAAGTTGGGAGGCAACATAATGTATAAATCAGCGATGATCATCTGCGCATGCGTAACTATGCGATTCATATACTAATCTAAACAGTCCACCCGCGGTAACCGCTTGTAAGAATTTAATACATTAAATCAGCGAGTACTACGTTCCATAGTCACAGCTGTTATAGCCTTCTATTAAAGTTATTATCAGGGATTTGGACATATTCGAGACGAAAATTGTCACACTTTTTCACATTCTATAATAGTACAATTTACTTAATTGATTCAAATTATTTTTTTACAAATATCGTAATATATTTAGTTGCAATTTTCTTGTGTATTTACGTTCTCAGTATCAATGTATTTTATATATTTATGCTTTTATTGTGTTTGTGAGCTCATCTCTGTGCTGTATCTGTAATTAGCCATCAGGCATACAAATAATAAAAAATTGAATTGAATTGAAGAATTGAATTGAATTTAACAGTTAACTGGTCTTTTCCATTCTTATAGCAAATGACTTCTCCATTTTTATTCAGTACATGTAATTAAAATTAAACATTAGGTCAACAAAACTGTAACTTATTCGCGGTTAAAAAATATTAAGAACCAATGCCTTAGGTAATATAACATTTCAGAATTAAACTCCAAACTTAGAATTACAAGACAAAGGAAAGGCAGTGAGTTTTCTCGTTCTTTAATTAATTGACAAGCAGAAGATATATGAACAAGTAGGCCGATATGATAGCTCGGGGTAAGCTTTGAATGACGGCTAGAACAAATTGTAACCTTGAATGAGTTTAAGACAATGCCGACAGTGTACCAAGATCAATCAATGACGCATTGCTTCCAGTAGCTGGTTAATAAGACAGGCATATTAAGCACTGAATAAATTACCTTTACATCCTACACAATATGGCGAATACGATTAAAACAAAATGGTGCCAGGTGTTAACTCAGACCGATACGTGAAGTAATAGCCTTTGTCGTTATTTCGGGTCAGAAAAGAACTTTTTTAAACTGCCTTTATTTAAAATTATCTGAGATGTTTAGTCTAGCAATAAATTAGATGGGAATGGGAAACAATATCTGCGTTTAATAATTTTACTACCCAAGAGTGAATAGTGAATAATATATCACAAAAGATGCATAATGTTTTAGTGTGATTAAATCGAGGAGGTTAAGAGGGGCAGGACATGTTGCACGAATGGGAACTTAAATGTGCGTGAAATTTTGACATGAAAACCTCGTTAAAATAGGTTACTTGAGACGCTGACATATAGATTGAGAATAATATTAAAATAGGTGATAGGCAAATATATGACAGTAAAAAACATCAGGGTCTCAGATTTCAGAAGTTCTTGAATTGTTAACATGTACAGGTTATTCTCTGAACTATGGTTTTCGTTTGTTATTTATGCTGTTCCATGTTATTAATGAAGATACATCAATATAAACACTCAGGCAATAACAAATGAAGGTAACAGGAAATTTAGCATAATAAATGTAAGTCCGAACATCGACTTCATTATCATCAAAAAGAGCAACAGCAAATTTAAAATGCGCCAACAAGTAAAATTCTAAAATTAAGTTTTGAGAAAGTTAAAATTAAGAATATGATATGTTTTATGCCTACTAATAAGTACCCTTAAATCAAAACTGCAATTTAATTTGACAGACCTTTTATGAAGATGACAGACGGTGACGTCACTCTGTCGTTAACAATACTTACATGAAGTTTTTAAAGACTTCCAAATTGTTCAACAAAACATTGTAATTTTTTACCTTTCGACATAATATGTATATTGTTACAAATAAAGCCTAGAAACAGTCTATGTAAACAAATTTTGTTTGATAAACGTCTGTAGAAGGAAATATTAAAAGAGAATAAGAAAGGAAGAACAGAAATTTTAAATTTCAACACTTTTGAAGAAAAATTAACAAACAAAATAATAAAACATGCACAAAAAGAGAATCCCTTAGACGGGTATAAACGTGAAAGAATGAAATTTTCAACAGAAAGACTAAAATCAAAAGGAAAAAAAATTGGCAGGAAAGGAGTTGTGGGAAGACGGACTAAAAGAGACGCTTCGTTTCCAGAAGACCCACGTAAAGCGAAATAGTCTTAGAAGGAAAAATAGTAAGCGTCTGGCAGCAACAAACTTAACAAAACAAAAAACCACAACATTTCACAGCGGCGAGTATGAAGATTTCTGCCTTCATCGCCCTGATGACGGAGGCAGCAAAAAGTTCTGAGACGTTGGTAAACATCGACCAGACTACGCAGCGCAAGAACCCAGAAGACAGAAATCTTCATACTCATCGATGTAAAAACCTCAAATCTTACATTTCACACGTAAATTTTGAATGGCCCTTGTTCTTTGTATTTAATCTCCCGTCTGAAATACTGGGCAACTGTAACAAAGATCACTGAAACACAGTCCCCCACCGGCGAGCTGATATTACATTAGCTCTGCTGAGTGTGCAATGCCCGGATTAAAGTTAGCGTGTTGACCAATTGGTCAGTTAGTAAGGGCGTGGCCCCATCCATGTTTCTGAAGATAGAGTTCCTACTTGCTTCCACTGCATTCTGATTTATTCATAACTTCTCCTCTGATATTCATCTCCATTTCTCTTACTGTATGTGATTCTATTGTCATGTTGCGACACACAATTCAATAATATTGTGTCTACCTAAAATAGAGCCATTGTCATGATTGTATAGAACCACAAAAAGTGATTCACCCAAAAACAAATATCTTATTTACTGGTACCTTTTCCTTATTCCTCATCCTCACTACATAACTAGAAAAGAGAGAGGAAATATGCTAAGAATTCATTGCACTGTGCAAATGTGGCAGTATCATAACTGAAAAGGCAACATACTTCATAGTCTGCCATTATAACCCAAGGATTTAATTCCGGTTACAAAAATCCTGCCATGATGACAGATGTAGTCCATTTCACATTAACATTCCTTTTATTGTACTTATTTGTATTTAAGCTGTGTATCTTAATTCAAAATTTAAAACTGTAATACATTACAAATGGTCGAAAATCCTAGTCTAGAAATCATTTGGTGCGGAAATGCAATGTCATTGTAACCCCAAAACAATAAAATTGCTTAGTATTTTATAATAATAACAAACTTCTGTGTCATGTATAAAAAAACTGGCTTAAAATAACACACAGTGCATATAAATGTGTTTAAAGCATTTTAATTGACCTCTGAATGTATGACTCCATGGTTTCTGTAATATATATTGTCCAAGTGCCCAATTTGTTACTTTTTGCCAAGGTCATGTGTTAAATAACATGCATTCTTCTCATGAATTAATGTTATCTTTATCAGCAAAGTTGTCCATGTAATTTTATCATGTTTAATAACAGATTAAACTCAGAAGAACTGAACAGAAAACAAATCAAAATAATACAGCAAAGTCAGCACCTATCTGTTAATAACAGGCTAAAAGTATTCAAATAATTCCAGAATTTAGTATAAGTTAACTTCAATTATTTATTTTAATCCGTCTGATCACAATATAATTTTATTTAAAATTTCTTATAATTAAGATAATAAAATATCATTCATGTTCCGTATCGATTGATCGATTTACATTTCGGAACATTTACACAAAAAAAACTACAGAAATCATAATTGAGTTTTAAGTTCTTAGATATATTTTACACCTGATAATGGTTTTATAAAAACCAAAACATGTTGTGTAAATGTTCCGAAATGTAAATCGATCAATCGATACGGAACATGAATGATATTTTATTATCTTAATTATAAGAAATTTTAAA